CACTGTATATATATTTTCTGTTGTATTTTTTTGACTTTATGTATTTTTTTACCCCATATGTAACTCTGTGTTGTTGTTTTTATCGCACTGCTTTGCTTTATCTTGGCCAGGTCGCAGTTGTAAATGAGAACTTGTTCTCAACTGGCTTACCTGGTTAAATAAACGTAAAAAAAAGAAGAAAAAAAAAGAGTTTAGACCTTTAGATAGAAAAGATGAAGCGGCACAAGAAATTCTCTCTTCAATTACAGCTGATGGTTTATGCAAGATACATATTTCAGTTGACGTGTACCTATGATGAAAATTACAGGCCTCTCTCATCTTTTTAAGTGGGAGAACTTGCACAATTGGTGGCTGACTAAATAATTCCCCCCCCCACTGTATATATATATATATATATATATATATATATATATATATATATATATGGTTATTTCATTTCATTGTTATTTGTTTTTGTTTATATTGCATTTGTTTTAGGAATAAGGGCAATAAAATTATCCCACAGTCTGCAGTGAATGCCATGCAGAAGAAGGATCCCGACACACTAACAGTGAAGATGGTGGACTTTGTTGCGTTTTATAGCGCAAGTGATAAATTGCACTAGTCAAACTAATAAAAAATCAAAGAAGGTAGACATCATTGAGAAGGCGGCAAATAGATTTCTGGAGCTCCAGGACATTACAGCCAAAATGTCACAGGGAGCACTGAATGAAAAGGTGTCCCCCTTCCAGGTTCCTGAGCCTGTGTAGGGATCTGAATAGTACCGTTTTTTGTTTTTTTTTGTTTGAAATTCAGGGTAGTAGCGTGAATTTGGTTAGTGTTTTCTGTTTTGGTAATTAGTATGAATTTGTTCATCCAAAACATATTTTAGTTTTTGGGGTATGTTTTACTACCCTGTACAGTAGGTGGCAGCAATACACCTTTATGAGTGTAGTCTGCCAATAAACCTCAAAGAAGAAGAAGGGCAGCTAAACGTTGGGTAAATGTTCAGGCATTAGTCAGGGCAGCTAAACGCTGGGTAAATGTTCAGGCATTAGTCAGGGCAGCTAAACGTTGGGTAAATGTTCAGGCATTAGTCAGGGCAGCTAAACGCTGGGTAAATGTTCAGGCATTTAGTCAGGGCAGCTAAACGCTGGGTAAATGTGAGTTGACTGACTGAGGACCTGCTGGCTGGTATCTTTCATCTCTAAAGGACTCAGATTAGATGATGAAGTGTCAAAAATCAGTGAAGTGTCATCGTATATTCTAACCTGTATTTATAATCCAAGATCAGGAACATTGCAGAACAATCACTCTCTCTCTCTCTCTCTCTCTCTCTAGATTGAATCCAATGAATCCAGTGGTAGTGTAATATTGTCTCCTATTGTAGTGTGTGTGCCCACGGGGGGGGGGGGGGGGGGGGGGGGGCAGTATGAAAAATGTATGCACTCACTAACTGTAAGTCGCTCTGGATAAGAGCGTCTGCTAAATTACTAAAATGTCAACAACAAAAAAGAAAACGTGTAGCATCCTACCTGACAGGCGCTCCTCTGCTCTGTGCAGGTTTCAGCAGGACAGTCACTGTGCTGTCTGTCTGGTTCAGAGATGTCTCCTGGTCATAGGCTGGCATGGAGGGAGCTAGAAGGACAACACAAGCATACTATCTCAGTCTCCTGGGGTTAGTGTCTAGGGGTTAGGTGTCTAGGGGTTAGTGTCTAGGGGTTAGGTGTCTAGGGGTTAGTGTCTAGGGGTTAGGTGTCTAGGGGTTAGGTGTCTAGGGGTTAGTGTCTAGGGCAGGGGTGTCAAACTCATTTTAGCTCAGGGGCCACATGGAGGAAAATCTATTCCCAAGTGGGCCGGACCGGCAAAATCATGGTATATATAACTTAAAAACAACAACTTCAGATTGTTTTCTTTGTTTTAATACTATCAACATAAAACATAAAGCTGGAGCCTGAGGACAGTGTGTCCAAAATAGTACAAGCACAACATCACTATTAATCATAAAACACCTCAAGTTTATTTGAAAATTCTAAAGAAAAAACACACAAACACACAATGCCTCAGTGATTCACATAACTGTTTCACAGATCACAGAACTATATCAGGGTGTCATTTCTCAGGCAGAAATGTAGATACAAATAATGAAATCCTGTTCCCCAAACAAGTGCAAGAACCACAGTCAAGAATAGGTTAAATATACAAATAAAATAAAATCAATTAAAAACAATAGCACATCAACATAAAAACATATAAACATAAAGCTGGAGCCTGAGGACAGTGTGTCCAAAAGCACAACATCACTATTAATCATAAAACACCTAAAGTTATTTGAAATTCTGAGGACAAACAACACACAAACACACAATGCCTCAGTGATTCACAGAAGTATATCACAGATCACAGAACTATATCAGGGTGTCTCATGCAGCACTTTAAGTGGGGTTGCATAGTTTATTTGACTCCTGATACCTGGCATCTTTTAGCTTTCACCAGCGCATCAATATCAGGCGTCACATCCTGAGTGGCAGCCAACTTCAGGATGTGATTCAAGTGCTTGTGCGTGAGCCTTGAGCGCAGCTTTGTTTTATTTATGCTCATTACAGAGAACTTGCTCACAAAGATATGTGGTTCCAAACATGCACAACCGTTTTGCAGCGAGGGCTGTCAAGTTGGGGTAACCTGGCAAGAGATTCTGATAAAATGTGTCCAAGCCTCCTGGTGCAAAATACAGTGAAAAGTCCAAAAATCACGTCCTCCATTTGCAGATTGCACTTTCTCTCTGAACTTTGTCACAACGCCTGCTTTTTTCCCGATAATTGAGGGCGCACCATCTGTAGCCAGGCTGACAGTGCGGGACCAGTCCACTCCGACCCTGTCCAGCGCGCCGACGAGTGCAGTGAAAATATCAGCTGCTGTCGTTGTATCTGTCATCGGCACCAACTCCACGAACTCCTCGGTGACGGTCAATGTGTCATCAACTCCGCGGATGAAAATGGCCAGTTGTGCAACATCTGTAATGTCCGTGCTTTCATCAATTGCAACCGAAAACACAATAAATGACTTTACTTTTTGCTTCAACTTGCTGTCCAAATCCACTGAAAGATCGGAAATCCTGTCTGCAACTGTGTTTCTTGTCAGGCTGATATTTGCAAAAGCCTGGTGCTTTTCAGGGCACACAATCTCTGCTGCCTTCATCATGCATGTTTTTACAAATTCACCCTCACTAAATGGTTTTGAAGCCACTGCGATTTCATTAGCAATGAGGTAGCTAGCTTTCACTGCAGCGTCACTGATGTCTCGGCTGTGAGTAAACACAGACTGCTGTTTCTTCAGACCCACCAACAGTTCATTCACCTTCTCTCTTCTCCGCTGTCCTTGAAAGTTGTCATATTTGTCGGCATGAAGACTCACATAGTGGCGACGAAAGTTATATTCTTTCAGCACTGCAACATGCTGTGAACACACCAAACATACAGCTTTCCCATTCAATTCCGTGAATAAATAGAAGGATGACAATTTTTCTTGGAACACTCTGCGTCCACTTTTCTCTTTTTTGACAGAGACATATTGGGGCAATGAGGGTGCCAAAGCACATAATGTTAAAAGTAGAAGCCGTAATAAATATCGCGGGCAAAACAAAGTAGCTCATCCGGACTGGCTGCACTTGCTTGACCTATTTGCTCTGCCCCGGTATAAACAGTTTGCTTGCTTAACACAATTGCTATTGCGCCATCCAGTGGACACAATTGGAACAGCAGTTTCTTTTATTGAAAAATTGCAGCTCATTTTTATACTTTACAAAATCATCTCGCGGGCCGGATTAAACCCGTTTGCGGGCCGGACGTTTGACACCCCTGGTCTAGGGGTTAGGTGTCTAGGGGTTAGTTGTCTAGGGGTTAGTGTCTAGGGGTTAGTGTCTAGGGGTTAGTTGTCTAGGAGTTAGTGTCTAGAGGTTAGTGTCTAGGGGCTAGGTATTAGCATATATATTTTTTGATCAAACAATATAGCTCAGTATTTGAATTATTTATTTTATACAGTCATTTTTGCTCATTTTTATCAATGATGTCAATAATCTCGAACCCCACTGTATATATTTCGAAATAACTGCCCTTTTCTGGCTCGCAAATGTATTTTAACTAACAAATTGTTCCCAGAAAATCTGTACGGCCTTCAGTTGAATTTCGAGATCTTGATGTGGCCATCGAGCCAAAATCTTTGCCCGCCCCTGGCTAAGTGTCTAGGAGCTAGGTGTCTAGGAGCTAGGTGTTTGGAGCTAGGTGTCTAGGAGCTAGGTGTCTAGGTGTCTAGGAGCTAAGTGTCTAGGAGCTAGGGGGCTAGGAGCTAGGTGTCTAGGAGCTAGGTGGCTAGGTGTCTAGGAGCTAAGTGTCTAGGAGCTAGGTGTCTAGGTCACTAGGAGCTAGGTGTCTAGGTGTCTAGGTGTCTAGGAGCTAGGTGTCAAGGAGCTAGGTGTCTAGGAGCTAGGTGTCTAGGTGTCTAGGAGCTAGGTGTCTAGGAGCTAGGTGTCTAGGAGCTAGGTGTCTAGGTGTCTAGGAGCTAGGTTTCTAGGAGCTAGGTGTCTAGGAGCTAGGAGCTAGGTGTCTAGGAGCTAGGTGTCTAGGTGTCTAGGAGCTAGGTGTCTAGGTGTCTAGGAGCTAGGTGTCTAGGTGTCTAGGAGCTAGGTGTCTAGGTGTCTAGGAGCTAGGTGTCTAGGAGCTAGGTGTCTAGGTTTCTAGGAGCTAGGTGTCTAGGAGCTAGGTGTCTAGGTGTCTAGGAGCTAGGTGTCTAGGAACTAGGTGTCTAGGTGTCTAGGTGTCTAGGAGCTAGGCGTCTAGGAGCTAGGTGTCTAGGTGTCTAGGAGCTAGGTGTCTAGGTGTCTAGGAGCTAGGTGTCTAGGTGTCTAGGAGCTAAGTGTCTAGGAGCTAGGGGGCTAGGAGCTAGGTGTCTAGGAGCTAGGTGGTTAGGTGGCTAGGTGGCTAGGAGCTAAGTGTCTAGGAGCTAGGTGTCTAGGTGTCTAGGAGCTAGGTGTCTAGGTGTCTAGGAGCTAGGTGTCTAGGTGTCTAGGAGCTAGGTGTCTAGGTGTCTAGGAGCTAGGTGTCTAGGTGTCAAGGAGCTAGGTGTCTAGGAGTCTAGGAGCTAGGTGTCTAGGGGGCTAGGAGCTAAGGGGCTAGGAGCTAGGTGTCTAGGAGCTAAGTGTCTAGGAGCTAGGAGCTAAGGGGCTAGGAGCTAGGTGTCTAGGAGCTAAGTGTCTAGGAGCTAGGAGCTAAGGGGCTAGGAGCTAGGTGTCTAGGGGCTAGGTGTCTAGGGGCTAGGGACTGACCTGATATCTTGGTGGTGAACTGCGTGATGACTGGGGGTCCATAGCCCTTGGCGGTGGAGGCTCGGAGGGTGAAGGAGTAGGTGGATCCTGGGTAGAGCCCCAGGAAGATGTGGCTGGTCTCGTTGGCGTGTTTCAGGACCTTCCCACTCTGGTTGGACAGATCCAGCTCCGGGTCAAATGAGCTCACTGTCTTGTAGGAGATCTGGAGACAGACAGACAGACAGACATACAGACAGACATACAGACATACAGACATACAGACAGACAGACAGACAGACAGACAGACAGACAGACATACATACAGACATACAGACATACAGACATACAGACAGACATACATACATACAGACAGACAGACAGACAGACAGACAGACAGACAGACATACAGACAGACAGACAGACAGACAGACAGACAGACATACAGACAGACAGACAGACAGACAGACAGACAGACAGACAGACATACAGACATACAGACAGACATACATACAGACAGACAGACAGACAGACAGACAGACAGACAGACAGACAGACAGACAGACAGACAGACAGACAGACAGACAGACAGACAGACAGACAGACAGACAGACAGACAGACAGACAGACAGAGATACAGAGAGACAGACAGACAGACAGACAGACAGACAGACAGACAGACAGACAGACAGACAGAGATACAGAGAGACAACAGACAGACAGACAGACAGACAGACAGACAGACATACAGACATACAGACATACATACATACATACATACATACATACATACAGACAGACAGACAGACAGACAGACAGACAGGGGGTATATGATCATTATTTAGGTCTGTTTCTATACCTCGACAGTGTACTGTATATGGACATGGAGAGACTGCAATCTGCTTGTAGACGATCTGTGGACAATGAGATTGGCATTGTCAACTTCTAAAGACAGTCTCTACTACACAAGCAATATTGTCAAGAGGTTTGGACCTTGTGGAAATAAATTGGCAATGTGTTGGGTGTGAGATAGTAGGGGGACTATGTGGAAAAATGTACATGCCATAGAATTTACATTGCTAAGAGTAGCAAGACAGAACCTGCTAAACGAGTTGTGATTGTTTATCTAGCATCATCACTGTTTACTCTCTGTAATCTAGTTGTTTATCTAGTATCATTACCGTTTACTCTCTGTAATCTAGTTGTTTATCTAGTATCATTACTGTTTACTCTCTGTAATCTAGTTGTTTATCTAGCATCATCACTGTTTACTCTCTGTAATCTAGTTGTTTATCTAGTATCATTACCGTTTTACTCTCTGTAATCTAGTTGTTTATCTAGTATCATTACCGTTTACTCTCTATAATCTAGTTGTTTATCTAGTATCATTACCGTTTACTCTCTGTAATCTAGTTGTTTATCTAGTATCATTACCGTTTACTCTCTGTAGTCTTTTAGTTTCAGAATATTAATACCAGTTTAATCTATTCCTCCTCCATTAATGTAATAATAACCACCAGATCTACAGCAAGGAGGTGAGTGTTCCTCTTAATATCCTTTTAAAATCTAGTGCCTTCAGTATTCACACCCCTGGACTTTTTCCACATTTTGTTGTTATTTTGTCACTGGCCTACACACACAATACTCTATAATGTCAAAGTCGAATTATCTTTTTTTCGAAATGTTTACAAATTAATTAAACATTTAAAGATGAAATGTCTTGAGTCAATAAGTATTCAGCCCCTTTGTTATTGCAAGCCTAAATGAGTTCAGGAGTAAAAAATGTCTTAACCAGTATGCAATAGTAGTGTTTAACATGATTTTTGAACGTCTACCCCATCTCTATAAGTTATTTATGTTTGGAGCAACTCCAATACAACACATTACTGAGTACCACTCCATATTTTCAAGCATAGTGGTGGCTGCATCATGTTATGGGTATGCTTGTCATCGTTAAGGACTGGGGAGTTTTTCAGGATAAAAAAAAATATAATTAAACGGAATTGAGCTAAGCACAGGCAAAATCCTAGCGGAAAATCTGGTTCAGTCTGCTTTCCACCAGACACTGGGAGACTAGAGGAGAACCTGGTTCAGTCTGCTTTCCACCAGACACTGGGAGACTAGAGGAGAACCTGGTTCAGTCTGCTTTCCACCAGACACTGGGAGATGAATTAACCCTTTCAGCAGGACAACAACCTAAAACACAAGGCCAAATCTACAATGGAGTTACTTACCAAGAAGACAGTGAATATTCCAGAGTGGTTGAGTTACAGTTTTGACTTAAATCTACTTGATTGTCTAGCAATGATCAACAACCAATTTGACAGAGCTTGTTGAATTTAGAAAAGAACAATGGGGCAAATGTTGCACAATCCAGGTGTGGAACGTTCTAAAGACTCACCCAGAAATACTCAAATCTGTAATCGCTGCCAAAGGTGCTTCTACAAAGTATTGACTCAGGGGTGTGAATACTTATGTAAGTTAGATATTTCTGTATTTCATTTTCAATACATTTGCTAACTTTGCTAAAAACATGTTTTCACTTTGCCATTATGGGGTATTGTGTGTCGATCGGTGAGAGAAAAACATTTTTTAATACATTTTGAATTCTTGCTGTAACACAACAACATTTCTGAATTTTTTATATAACGTATAAAACCCCACTTTAAGACAACAGTTCCTGCTTTCTCCTCCTAGTAGAAAAACATTCATTATAATTCCAATTTCAATACACAAAGGAACAGTTTGGAGTGCTGCATAATTTGTGTCCATTAAGTTTCTGAAATGCTTGGAGGCCTTTTCTCATTTTGTCTTTGACTGCGTGTGGAATGAGTCTGGCTTGTGTGTGTGTTATTTGGTCTTTGTCTAGTGGAATGAGTCTGCTGTGATGCCAAATCCTATATCATAAAGAGATAGGAGAGGAGAGACGAGAGAGGGCCGAAGAGATACTAGAGAGAGAAGAAGACGAGTAGAGAGCGCTACCGCTCGAGAGAGATATCTCATACAATCGATATCGCGAGAGAGCGAGAGCTAGCTCGCCGATCGCGAGCTCCGCGCTCGCTCGCTCTCTCTCTCTCGCTCTTCTGCTCGCTCCTCTTTCTCTCGGCGCTACTCCCTCTCTCTCGCTCGCTCTCTTCCTCTCGCTCTCGCTCTCTACCCTGCTCTCTCTCGCTCTCTCTCTCTACGCCTCGCTGCGCTCTCTCTCCTCTTCTGCTCTGCTCGCGCCTCCGCTTCGTCCGCTCTCTGCTCTCTCTCTCACCCCTCCCATTCTTTGTTATGTTATATACAGTATGGCAGTTATTATAGTGATAGTGCTGATCACTCATGCTTGCTTTGTCAATACTATAGCCTCCTACAGATATAGGACCTTTATTTGAGCCAGTTTGCTACAGCAGGAAAAATAATCCTGCAGTAACAGGAAATAATGTGAATTATTATGTGGATTATAATTAATGGCCTTTTTTTGGGGGGGGGGTTGATACATCTTTTAAAGGGAAAATCAAGTGTGACATTTCAAAGTGGAAATACACTACAAGTTTTACATTTCCTGAATTGCAGGAAAGTTCTACTGCAACGGGGTGTTCAAATTAAGATCCTACATCTGTATATTTATACCGTAGATATTTAGGGAAGGTTTTACATTAATGTGTGTAGTAGGATGCATTGATCAGTTGATTGACCGGTGTAGGACTGTAGAACGATAACATTCCCTGTAGTGTGGATGCTCCCCAACGTTTTATACTTGTATAGCCTATTGTTTATCATTATAGTTATCGTTATAAATATTGGCTTGGTGGATGGCCCGGGCCTTTAACTCTGACACAGGACAACGTTATTATCACAACAGAACTAGCCTACTAGTAGGTATAGCTAACGTCATTATCACAACAGAACTAGCCTACTAGTAGGTCTAGCTAACGTCATTATCACAACAGAACTAGCCTACTAGTAGGTCTAGCTAACGTCATTATCACAACAGAACTAGCCTACTAGTAGGTCTAGCTAACGTCATTATCACAACAGAACTAGCCTACTAGTAGGTCTAGCTAACGTCATTATCACAACAGAACTAGCCTACTAGTAGGTCTAGCTAAACGTCATTATCACCAACAGAACTGAGCCTACTAGTAGGGCTAGTAACGTCATACACAACAGAACTAGCCTACTAGTAGGTCTAGTTAACGTCATTATCACAACAGAACTGCCTAACTAGTAGGTTAGCTAACGTCATTATCACAACCGAACTAGCCTACTAGTAGTCTAGCTAATGTCATGTATCACACAACAGAACTAGCCTATAGTAGGTCTAGCTAACGTCATTATCACAACAAACTAGCCTACTAGTGGGCTACTAAGCATTATCAACAAAAACTAGCCACTAGAGGTCTACTAACTCAACACAAAAAAACTACCTCTGTAGGTCAGCTAACGTCATTATCAAACAGAACTAGCCCACTTAGGTCTAGCTAACGATTATCACAACAAACTACCTCTATAGTTAGCTAATAAAAATTAATCAATTACATTTTTAAAAATTTTCCCGGAATTTGCCACCGCGGCCTTCGTAGGGAATAAAAGGGGAAATCGAATCCATCACTTTTTTTTGGGGGCCCAAGCCCGGTTTTAAAAAGGAGGTGGTAGTAGGAATATTGTGAGAGGTTAAACCCTTTGGATGGAGATGATCTGTAGAGAGAGTTAACCTATAGGAAATAGGGTTAGGGGTTTCAGAGAGATCTCTCTTCCTCTTAGCTCCTCTCGTCTCCTCTCTCGCTCTCTCTCTCTCTCTCTCCTATATGCCTCTCTCTCTTCTCTCTTCTCTCTCTCTCCTCTCTCTCTCTCTCTGTCTCTCTCTCTCTCTCTCTCTCTCTCCCTCTCTCTCTCGCTCCTCTCTCTATCTTACTCTCTCTACTCTCTACTTATATATATTATATATACACAGTACCAGTCAAAAGTTTGGACACACCTACTCATTCAAGGGTTTTTCTTTATTTTTACTATTTTCTACATTGTAGAATAATAGTGAAGACATCAAAACTATGAAATAACACATATGGAATCATGTAGTAACCAAAAAAAAGTGTTAAACAAATCAAAATATATTTTATATTTGAGATTCTTCAAATAGCCACCCTTTGCCTTGATGACAGCTTTGCACACTCTTGGTATTCTCTCAACCAGCTTCATGAGGTAGTCACCTGGAATGCATTTCAATTAACATGTGTGCCTTCTTAAAAGTTAATTTGTGGAATTTCTTTCCTTCTTAATGCGTTTGAGCCAATCAGTTGTGTTGTGACAAGGTAGGGGGGGTATACAGAAGATAGCCCTATTTGGTAAAAGACCAAGTCCATAATATGGCAAGAACAGCTCAAATAAGCAAGGAGAAACTACAGTCCTTCATTACTTTAAGACATGAAGGTCAGTCAATACGGAACATTTCAAGAACTTTGAAAGTTTCTTCAAGTGCAGTTGCAAAAACGATCAAGCTCTATGATGAAACTGTCTGTCATGAGGACCGTCACAGGAATGGAAGACCCAGAGTTACCTCTGCTGCAGAGGATAAGTTCATTAGAGTTACCAGCCTCAGAAATTGCAGCCCAAATAAATGCTTCACAGAGTTCAAGTCACAGACACATCTCAACATCAACTGTTCAGAGGGGACTGTGTGAATCAGGCCTTTTTCATGGTCGAATTGCTGCAAAGAAACCACTACTAAAGGACACCAATAAGACTTGCTTGGGCCAAGAAACACGAGCAATGGACATTAGACCAGTGGAGACCTGTCCTTTGGTCTGGAGTCCAAATTTGAGATTTTTGGTTCCAACCGCTGTGTCTTTATGAGACGCGGTGTGGGTGAACGGATGATCTCCGCATGTGTATTTCCCACCGTAAAGCATGGAGGAGGAGGTGTTATGGTGTGGGGGTGCTTTGCTGGTGACACTGTCTATGATTTATTTAGAATTCAAGGCACACTTAACCAGCATGGCTACCACAGCATTCTGCAGCGATACGCCATCCCATCTGGTTTGGGCTTAGTGGGACTATCATTTGTTTTTCAACAGGACAATGACCCAACACACCTCCAGGCTGTGTAAGGGCTATTTTACCAAGAAGGAGAGTGATGGAGTGCTGCATCAGATGACCTGACCTCCACAATCCCCCAACCTCAACCCAATTGAGATGCTTTGGGATGAGTCTGACCACAGAGTGAAGGAAAAGCACCCAACAAGTGCTAAGCATATGTGGGAACTCCTTCAAGACTGTTGGAAAAGCATTCCAGGTGAATCTGGTTGAGAGAATGCCAAGAGTGTGCAAAGTTGTCATCAAGGCAAAGGGTGGCTATTTGTAGAATCTCAAATATAAAATATATTTTGATTTGTTTAACACTTTTTTTTGGTTACTACATGATTCCATATGTGTTATTTCATCGTTTTGATGTCTTCACTATTATTCTACAATGTAGAAAATAGTAAAAAATAAAGAAAAACCCTTGAATGAGTAGGTCTGTCCAAACTTTTGACTGGTACTGTATATATATTACCTCGTGGAAATATGACCGTGTAGAGAGATGACCGTGTAGAGAGATGACTGTTTAGAGAGATGACTGTGTAAAGAGATGACTGTGTACAGAGATGACTGTGTACTTATGGTACAGACTATCTATTATTCAACATTCAATAGAGTTCAGTGGCTTGGCTGGCTGAGATGGGTATGAAAAACCTCTTCATGGACACTATCATGTGTAAAGGAAAAGGAGCCCTGTCGTTCTCCAAGAATCTTCAGACCCTCTTGGGCAGCACAGTACCACAAGAGACGAGGGATAAGAAGAGAGAGACGTGTTGTGTTTTCAAGGATACAATATTTTGCCGTGATCCAATGAATTAAATCAATCAGTTACTCTTCTCACCTCATACTGAGTGATGATTCCGTAGGTCTGGGCTGGTTCTCTCCACTTGAGGATCATCTTCTCTTCGTAAGCACTGCCCTGGATGGACTCCACAGGGACCGCTCCAGGTACTGAGGGGACAGGCCCAGATCAACACATCACAAACACCTCAGGACTAGGAGTCTCTCCTTATACGCGACTCTAGAGCAGGGATGGGTCAACTTTGATGGGGGGGGTGTGGGGGGGGGGGGGGGGGGGGGGGGGGCCACAAAAAAAATACGGAACTCATCATGAGGGGCCGCAGTGGCTCGTGGGTCTGCATACCCACATCCAATTTTATAACTCATTTCATGCAATTCTACTCATTTCGCCGTGGGGCAGAGAGAAAAAAATTAGCTGTTATACAGCTAATGTCCTGCAATTCTACACATTGAGCAATAGGCAGGGGGGGCAAATGTTTGACGTTTTTAATATGTTAACTGGGGCCCCACCCCGGGTCTGTAATTCGACCATGATTACTACAGGTTTGGTGTAATTTAGCAATCTAAAAACATGTTAGCTGACAGGGCTAATTGAGTTACCGCTGATGCACAACCACGTTTTGAAATGACACCACTTTGTGTTTCTATAATTCTAACTCTCAACAGGCCCGCGGGTCCGCCAGTTGCCCATCCCTGCTCTACAGGAACCGAGGGGACCGGACCAGAACAACCCACGAGAAACTCAAAGCTTCATTACACACGTAGGCTGCGTTTACACAGGCAGCCCAATTCTGATTCACGAATTATTTTTCCACTAATTGCGATGTAACTGAAGCGTTACGGTGATCGAGACCAGATGCATCGGTATTTTGACGAACCAACTTTTTAAGAGTGTTTCCCAAACAAGCGAGTAGAAAGAACGTTCGCTACGTGTGTCGTTAGATCATCCCACGAGGCACAGACGTCATTTCAACGTCTACTTTTTAAGTTGTCGACTAACGTGAATTCAACGTGAAATCAACAAAACATTTCACCATGTTGTTGGATTTATGTAAAACATTGGATGGAAAAAAAGACTAAATTCACTTCATGAGACTTTGGTTAGTTCATTTTGTAATACCTCAGTGTATCCCTGTGACTCCATTTTATAATACCTCAGTGTATTCCTGGGACTTTGAGACGTCTAGTCAGTCTTTAGAGAGGCATTGTAATACAGTTACTGTCCTAAACCCTCAGGTATCCTACCCAAGTTAAGAACTAGGTAACCGGGGCTGAGAGACGTATCAGTCTTTGAGGGCATGTGACGTCTTGAAACAGAAGTAATCATTAGTACAATGTTAACAAATAATTTATCTGGTCATCCTCTCTTCAAACTCATTTAGTACTATGTTACCTTTAAAACCTACCTTTTTCAAACTGTTCTACTGATGTTAACCTGTAACCTCTATTCAACTGTTCTACTGATGTTAACCTGAAGCTAACAGTTATGTACAGTACCGTTCACTTGTTTTGGGGTCACCTAGAAATCTCCTTGTTTTCGAAAGAAAATCAATTTTTTTTGTCCATTAAAATAACATCAAATTGATCAGAAATACAGTGTAGACATTGCTAATGTTGTAAATGTGCTAACATAATTGCAAAATGATCAATTAGCCTTTTAAAATGATAAACTTGGATTAGCAAACACAACGTGCCATTGGAACACAGGCCTGATGGTTGCTGATAATGGGCCTCTGTACGCCTATGTAGATATTCCATAAAAAATCAGCCGTTTCCAGCTACAATAGCCATTTACAACATTAACAATGTCTACACTGTATTTCTGATCAATTTTGATGTTATTTTAATGGACACCTTTTTTTGCTTTTCTTTCGAAAACAAGGACATTTCTAAGTGACCCCAAACTTTTGAACGGTAGTGTATATTTCAAGATAATTGCTTCCTGCGACCTGAAGAGTGTGAACTCAGTTAAATGGATACTTCAGGATGTTGACAATGAGTCTATCTGACTCTGGGGAAGAAGACAAAGGGCCTCATTGTCAACATCCTGAAGTATCCCTTTAAGACTCATCAACACATTATATTACAACACATGATAATCGGTCTGCAGCTAAATCTAAGAATAACACTTGATTGCACTGTGCCTGTCTGTCTGTCTGTCTGTCTGTCTGTCTGTCTGTCTGTCTGTCTGTCTGTCTGTCTGTCTGTCTGTCTGTCTGTCTGTCTGTCTGTCTGTCTGTCTGTCTATAGCTCCATATCTGGGCTCTCTTTGACCCCCTTTGGGTTCTTGAGGACCAGTTTGACACTTTATTACACCATTATGTAACCATTCTAAGGTATTATAACACTTACCGTCCTCGTCTGTCTGTAGCTCCATCTCTGCTCTCCATCGACCCCCTTCATAAACATGTTATAACCATTCTAAGGTATTATAACACTTACCGTCCTCGTCTGTCTGTAGCTCCATCTCTGGGCTCTCTTTGACCCCCTCTGGGTTCTTGAGGACCAGTTTGACTGACAGGTTGGTGTAAGGGGTCAGGTTGTGGATGGTGTGCTGGGGGTCGCGACCCAGGGTGTCGTAACACACCTCCTCCCGGGTCTCGTCCTTCCCCGCCACGAGGGACCGGTACTGCACCGTCAGGTTGTAGCTATGGCAACGCGTAACGTTGTAGCCGAACGGCTCCCAGCGAACGGTGACTTGTTTAGATTGGACGTCAACGACTTCTAGATTCCTGGCACCGTGGATTGGCTCTGTGGAGAGTTATGAAAAATATGTAAACGATAGATAAGAATGAGGATCTCACTATGAATGTGTGAGTGTGTGTGATTAATTCAAATTATTGTGTTTATTCTTTCAAACCCATTTTCCAATTAAATAGCCTATAGTTTACTCTGGCATTATCAGTGTGTATGTGTTAGATTGTGCCAGTTCATTCTGAGATTTCAAAAGGACAGTCTTGACAGAGAAGCACACATCTTCTCCGTTCCCTACTCGGCACCACAATCACAAACAGCAAAGCCTCCAGGCTTACTGGTGATAGTCTCTCTGTATGGGGCATATCATCCCTCTAGACCTGGGGGTGATAGTCTCTCTGTATGGGACATATCATCCCTCCAGACCTGGTGGTGATAGTCTCTCTGTATGGGACATATCATCCCTCCAGACCTGGGGGTGATAGTCTCTCTGTATGGGACATATCATCCCTCCAGGCTTACTGGTGATAGTCTCTCTGTATGGGACATATCATCCCTCTAGACCTGGGGGTGATAGTCTCTCTGTATGGGACATATCATCCCTCTAGACCTGGGGGTGATAGTCTCTCTGTATGGGACATATCATCCCTCCAGGCTTACTGGTGATAGTCTCTCTGTATGGGACATATCATCCCTCCAGACCTGGTGGTGATAGTCTCTCTGTATGGGACATATCATCCCTCCAGACCTGGTGGTGATAGTCTCGCTGTATGGGACATATCATCCCTCCAGACCTGGGGGTGATAGTCTCTCTGTATGGGACATATCATCCCTCCAGGCTTACTGGTGATAGTCTCTCTGTATGGGACATATCATCCCTCCAGGCTTACTGGTGATAGTCTCTCTGTATGGGACATATCATCCCTCTAGACCTGGTGGTGATAGTCTCTCTGTATGGGACATATCATCCCTCTAGACCTGGTGGTGATAGTCTCTCTGTATGGGACATATCATCCCTCCAGACCTGGTGGTGATAGTCTCTCTGTATGGGACACATCATCCCTCCAGACCTGGTGGTGATAGTCTCTCTGTATGGGACATATCATCCCTCCAGGCTTACTGGTGATAGTCTCTCTGTATGGGACATATCATCCCTCCAGACCTGGGGGTGATAGTCTCTCTGTATGGGACATATCATCCCTCCAGACCTGGTGGTGATAGTCTCTCTGTATGGACATATCTCCCTCCGGCCTATTGGGTGATAGTCTCTCTGTATGGGACATATCATCCCTCCAGACTGGGGTGATAGTTCTCTCGGTATGGGACCTTCTCCCTCCCCAGCTTACTGGTGATAGTCCTCTCTGTATGTGACATATCATCCCCTCCAGACCTGGGGGTGAATAGTCCTCCTCTGTATGGGACATATCATCCTCCAGGCTTACTTGGTGATAGTCCTCCCTGTATTGGGACCAAATAGCATCCCTCCAGGCTTTACTGGTTGATAGTCTCTTCTGTATGGGAAAATCATCCCTCCAGGCTTACAGGGGATAGTCTCCTCTGTATGGGACATATCCTTCCTCCAGACCTACTGGTGATAGCTTCTCTCTGTATGGGACATATCATCCCTCTAGACCTGGGGGTGATATGTCTCGCTGTCATGGGACATATCACCCTCTAGACCTGGGGGTGATAGTCTCGTCTGTATGGGAATATAATCCCTCCAGGCTGACTGGGGATATTCTCGCCTGTATGGGAACATATCATCCCCTCCAGACCTACTGGTGATAGTCTCTCTGGTATGGGACATATCATCCCTCCAGGCTTACGTGATTCTCTCTGTGGGACTATCTCCCTCAACCTGTGTGATAGTTTCGCTGTATGGGACATATCATCCTCCGGTTTCTGGTGATAGTCTCGCTGTATGGGACATATCATCCCTCCAGACTACTGGTGATAGTCTCTCTGTATGGGACATATCATCCCTCCAGCCTTGGGGATAGTCTCGTTATTGGACATATCATCCCTCCAGGCTTACTGGTGATAGTTCTCTGTATGGACATATCATCCCTCCAGACCTGGGGTGATAGTCTCTCTGTATGGGACATATCATCCCTCCAGACCCGGGGTGATAGTCTCTCTTATGGGACAATCAAACCCTCCAGACCTGGTGGTGATAGTCTCTCGTATGGGACATATCATCCCTCCAGGGTTCTGGTGATAGTCTCTCTGTGTGGGACATATCATCCTCCCGACCCCGGGGGTGATAGTCTCGCTGTATGGGACATATCATCCCCCCAGGACCCGGTGGATAGTCTCGCTGTTGGGACATATCATCCCTCTAGAAACCCGGGGGTGATAGTCTCTCTGTATGGGACATATCATCCCTCCAGGCTTACTGGTGATAGTCTCTCTGTATGGGACATATCATCCCTCCAGGGTTTCGGTGATGTCTCTCTGTATGGGACATATCATTCCCCAGCCTACTGGTGATAGTCTCTCGTATGGGACATATCATCCTCTAGCCTGGGGTGTATTCGCTGTAGGACTTCATCCCTCTAACTGGGGTGATAGCTCGCTGTATGGGACATATCTCCTCCAGGCTTACTGGGGATAGTCTCGCGTATGGGACATATCATCCCTCCAGACCTATGGTGATAGTCTCTCTGTATGGGACATATCATCCCTCCAGGCTTCTGGTGATATCTCTCGTATGGGAAAATATCATCCCTCCAGACCTGGGTGGTGATAGTCTCGCTGTATGGGACATATCATCCCTCCAGGCCCTTTCTGGGGATAGTCTCGCTGTAAAGGGACATATCATCCCCCCAGCCTACTGGGATAGTCTCTCTGTATGGGCATATCATCCCTCCAGACCTGGTGGTGATAGTCTCGCTGTATGGGACATATTAAACCCCCCAGGGTTACTGGTGATAGTCTCCTGTATGGGACATATCATCCCCCCAACCTGTGGTGATAGTCTCTCTGATGGGACATATCATCCCTCCAGACCTGTGGTGATATCTCTCTGTATGGACATATCCTCCAGACCTGGTGTGATAGTCTCTCTGTATGGGACATATCATCCCTCCAGGCTTACTGGTGATAGTCTCTCTTTTGGGAATATCATCCCTCCAGACCTGGGGTGATGTCTCTCTGTATGGGACATATCCCTCCCTCCAGACCTGGTGGTGATAGTCTCTCTGTATGGGACATATCATCCTCCAGGCCTATTGGTGATAGTCTCTCTGTTGGGACCATATCATCCCCCCAGACCTGGGGTGATAGTCTCTCTGTATGGGGCATATCATCCCTCCAGGCTACTGGTGATAGTCTCTCTGTATGGGACCATATCTCCCTCCAGACCTGTTGGTGATAGTCTCTCTGTATGGGAAAATATCATCCCTCCAGGCTTACTTTGGGGATAGTCTCGCTGTATGGACATATCATCCCTCCAGACCTGGGGGTGATAGTCTCTCTGTATGGGACATATCATCCCTCCAGGTTACTGGGATAGTCTCTCGTAGGGCATATCATCCCCCAGACCTACTGGTGATAGTCTTCCCGTATGGGACATATCATCCTCCAGACCTGGTGGGATTAGTCTCTCTGTATGGGACATATCATCCCTCCAGCTACTGGTGATAGTCTCTCTGTATGGGACATATCATCCCCAGACCTACTGGTGATAGTCTCCTGTATGGGACATATCATCCCTCCAGGCTTATTTGGGGATAGTCTCTCTGTATGGGACATATCATCCTCCAGACCTACTGGTGATAGTATCTCTGTATGGACATATTATCCCTCCAGGCTTTCAGGTTTATAGTCTCTCTGTAGGGACATATCATCCCTCCAGACCTGTGGTGATGTCTCTCTGTATGGGACATCATCCCTCCAGGCTTACTGGTGATAGTCTCTCTGTATGGGGCATATCATCCCTCCAGACCTGGTGGTATAGTCTCGCTGTATGGGACATATCATCCCTCCAGGCTTACTGGTGATAGTCTCTTTATGGGACATATCATCCCTCCAGACCTGGTGGTGAAGCTCTCTGTATGGGACTATCATCCCTCCAGACCTGGTGGTGATAGTCTCTCTGATGGGGCACATCATCCCCCCAGACCTGGTGGTGATAGTCTCTCTGTATGGGACATATCATCCCTCCAGGCTTACTGGTGATAGTCTCTCTGTATGGACATATCATCCCTCCAGACCTGGGGGGGGATAGTCTCGCTGTATGGGACATATCATCCCTCCAGACCTGGTGGTGATAGTCTCGCTGTAGGGACAATCATCCCTCTAACCTGGGGGTGATAGTCTCTCTGTATGGGACATATCATCCCTCCAGGCTTTCTGGTGATAGTCTCTCTGTAGGGACATATCATCCCTCCAGGCTGACAGGTGATGTCTCTCTGTATGGGACATATCATTCCTCCAACCTACTGGTGATAGTCTCTCTGTATGGGACATATCATCCCTCTAGACCTGGGGGTGATAGTTTTCGCTGTATGGGACATACATCCCTCTAGACCTGGGGTGATAGTCTCGCTGTATGGGGCATATCATCCCTCCAGGCTTACGGTGTAGTCTCGCTGTTGGGACATATCATCCCTCAGACCTACTGGGGATAGTCTCTCTGTTGGGACATATCATCCCTCCAGGCTTCTGGTGATAGTCTCCTCTGTAGGGACATATCATCCCTCCAGACCTGGTGGTGATAGTCTCGCTGTATGGGACAATCATCCTCCAGGCTTACTGGTGATAGTCTCGCTGTATGGGACATATTTATCCCTCCAGACCTACTGGGGATAGTCTCTCTGTATGGGACATATCATCCCTCCAGACCTGGTGGTGATAGTCTCGCTGTATGGGACATTCATCCCCCCCAGGCTTTCTGGTGATAGTCTCTCTGTATGGACATATCATCCCTCCAGACCGGTGTGATAGTCTCTCTGTATGGGACATATCATCCCCCCAGACCTGGTGGGGATAGTCTCTCTGTATGGGACACTCATCCCTCCAGACCTGGTGGTGATAGTCTCCTGTATGGGACATTCAAACCCTCCAGGCTTACTGGTGATAGTCTCCTGTATGGGACATATCATCCCTCCAGACCGGGTGGTGATGTCTCTCTGTATGGGACATATCATCCCTCCAGACCTGGGGGTGATAGTCTCCCCTGTATGGACAATCATCCCCCCCCAGCCTATTGGTGATAGTCTCTCTGTATGGGACTATCATCCCTCCAGACCTGGGGTGATAGTCTCTCTGTATGGGACATATCATCCCTCCAGGGTACCCGGATAGTTCTCTGTATGGACATATCATCCCTCCAGACTGGTGGTGATAGTCTCTCTTTTATGGGACATATAAACCCTCCAGGCTTACTGGTGATAGTCTCCTGTATGAGACATATCATCCCTCCAGACCTGGGGTGATAGTCTCTCTGTATGGGACATATCATCCCTCCAGGCTTACTGTGGGTAGTCTCTCTGTATGGGACATTCATCCTCCAGACCTACTGGTGATAGTCTCTCTGTATGGGACATATCATCCCTCCAGACCTGGGGTGATAGTCTCTCTGTATGGGACATATCATCCCCCCAGCTCTGGTGATAGTCTCTCTGTATGGGACATATAAACCTCCCGACCTACTGGTGAAGTCTCTCGTATGGGACATATCATCCCTCCAGGCTTATTGGTGATAGTCTCTCTGTATGGGAACATATCATCCCTCCAGAACCTCTGGTGATAGTATCTCTGTATGGGAATATTATCCTCCAGGCTTACAGGTGATAGTCTCTCTGTATGGGACAATCAAACCCTCCAGACCTGGTGGTGATAGTCTCTCTGTATGGGACATATCATCCCTCCAGGCTTCTGGTGATAGTCTCTCTGTATGGGACATATCATCCCTCCAGACCTGTGGTGATAGTCTCGCGTATGGGACATATCATCCCTCCAGACCTACTGGGGATAGTCTCTCTGTATGGGACATATCATCCCTCCAGACCTACTGTGATAGTATCTCTGTATGGGAAATCATCCCTCCAGGCTTACTGGTGATAGTCTCTCTGTATGGGACTATCATCCCTCCAGACCACTGGTGATGTCTCTCTGTATGGGAAAATATCATCCCTCCGCCCTTTCTGATGATAGTCTCTCGTATGGGACATATCATCCCTCCAGACCTGGGGTGATAGTCTCTCTGTATGGGACATATCATCCCCCCAGGGTTACTGGTGATAATCTCTCTGTATGGGACATATCATCCCTCAAAACCTACTGGTGATAGTCTCTCTGTATGGGACATATCATCCCTCCCGGCTTACTGGTGATAGTCTCTCTGTATGGGACATATCATCCCTCCAACCTGGGGGTGATAGTCTCTCGTATTACATATCATCCCTCCAGGCTTACAGGTGATATCCTCCTTGTATGGGACATATCATCCCTCCAGACCTGGTGGTGATATCTCGCTGTATGGACATATCATCCTCCAGACCTACTGGTGAAGTCTCTCTCTATGGGACATATCATCCTCCAGCCTACTGGTGATAGTCTCTCTTTTATGGGACATATCATCCCTCCAGCTTACTGATGATAGTCTCTCTGTATGTGACATATCATCCTCCAGACTACTGGTGATAGTCTCTCTGTATGGGACATATCATCCCTCCAGATCTGGGGGTGATAGTCTCTCTGTATGGGACATATCATCCCTCCAGGCTTACTGGTGATATCTCTCTGTATGGGACATATCATCCCTCCAGACCTACTGGTGATAGTCTCTCTGTATGGGACCCTATCATCCCTCCAGGCTTTCTGGTGATAGTCTCTCTGTATGGACATATCATCCTCCAGACCTGGGGTGATAGTCTCTCTGTATGGGACATATCATCCCTCCAGGCTTTTTGGTGATAGTCTCTCTGTATGGGGACATATCATCCCTCCAGCCTACTGGCGATAGTCCCCTGTATGGGACATATCATCCCTCCAGCTTACTGGTGATAGTCTCTCTGTATGGGACATATCTCCTCCCGACCTGGGGTGATAGTCTCTCTGTATGGGACACATATCCCCCCAGACCTGGTGGTGATAGTCTCTCTGTATGGGACACATTTATCCCTCCAGACCTGGTGATAGTCTCTCTGTATGGGACACATCATCCCTCCAGAAACCCGGTGGTGATAGTCTTCTGTATGGGACATATCTCCCTCCAGACCTGTGGTGATAGTCTCGCTGTATGGGCATTTATCCCCTTCCATTAACCATCATATCTCTATTTTAATTTCTCCTCGCCTCTTCTTCCCCTCTCTTCCTCTCCCCACTCCTTGGGGGATATCATCCTTATTTTACCCGTCATTTCTCTAATTTCGATTTCTCTATCGCTCTCCCAGCGCCTAAAATCTCCTCCCCCTTTTCCTCGTTCTCCTCTTTCCTTTCTTCTCTTTTCCTTCCTCTCTTTCCCCCTCTCTTCTTTCCCCCTCCCCCTTTTCCCTTTCTCATTTCTCCCCCCCCTCCCCCCCAACCCCCCCCCCCCCCCTTTTTTTCTTTCCCATTCTCTTTTTCCCTCCTAGTCCCTCTCCCCCCCCCCCTCTTTTCTAGGGGGGGCGAGCACCCTAGAAACCAGAGCTCGGGGTAAGGGGATCTTTTCCCCTTTCCATGTAAAGCTTCATCCCTTTCTCTGGAAGTCAACCTTTACCACCTATTGCTGGTGCCAGGGGCCCAAATTTCCCCTTTTCCAGGGGACACACACACCCCCCCACCATTTTCTGCCCCTGGGGGAAGGAGGAGGGGGGAGGAGGGGGAGGAGGAGGGGAAGAGGGGGAGAGGAAGGGGAGGAGAGGTGGGGAGGGAAGGGGGGGTGGGGGGTGAGAGGAGGAGGAGGGGGTGGGAGAGGAGGAAGGGGGAGGAGGTGGAAAAGGAAGGGGGGGCGGTAGGGGGGAATTTGAGGAGGGGAAAAGGGGGCCCCCGGGTCCTAGGTTTTTGGCCCCCATGTAGGGACGGTCCGTGTGGCCAGCGGTAGGTAAAGGCACTTGCAACGCCAAAGGTCGTGGGTTCAATTCCCACTGGGCCCCCCTACGTAAAATTAGCACGCATGACTATAAGTCGCTTTGATAAAACTTTTTGCTAAAGGCATATATTAAATTCTGAGGGAGGATACTTTAAAATTATGGGGGGAGAGGCTGGACTATTAACATTCTGGGGGGAGAGGTGGTACTATTAACATTCTGGAGGGAGAGGACTATTAACATTCTGGAGGGAGAGGCCTCTATTAACATTCTGGAGGGAGAGGACTAACTATTAACATTCTGGAGGGAGAGGACTAACTATTAACATTCTGGAGGGAGAGGTCTGGACTGTTAACATTCTGGAGGGAGAGGACTAACTATTACATTCTGGAGGAGGGACTAATACTTGACTTAACATTCTGTAGGAGCGGATATTATAACATTCTGGAGGGAAGGACTGGACTATACTTCTGAAGAGCCTCTTTAAATTCTGGAGGGACTGGGACTACTTAACATTCTGGAGGGAGAGGTCTAACTATTAACATTCTGGAGGGAGAGGACTGGACTATTAACATTCTGGAAAGAGAGGACACTGAGGGATACTACATTTCTGGAGGAGAGGATAACTATTAACATTTGGGGGAGGCTGACTATTAACCTTCTGGAGGGAGAGGACTGACTGTTAACATTCTGGAGGGAAGATAACTATTAACTCTTTATGGAATGACTACCTATTAACATTCTGGAGGGGAGGGCTACTTTAACATTCTGGAGGAGAGGCCTGGACTGTTAATTAGGGGAGTGGAATATTGAATTCTGGGGGAGGACTACTATTAACATTCTGGAAAAGGGAGGCACTGGACTATTAACATTCTGGAGGGAGAGGAACTATACATTCTGGAGGGATTGGACTGGTACTTAAAATTTTGGAGGGAGAGGATACTTATTAACATTCTGGAGGGAAAGACTGGACTTTAACATTTGAGGAGAGGACTGGACTATTATATTCTGAGGAGGTTAATAACTTTAAATTCTGGAGGGAAGCTGGACTATTAACATTCTGGAGAGAGGATATTTAACATTCTGAGGAGAGACTTACTAAACATTCTGGAGGGAGGACTAATATTAACATCTGGAGGGAGAGGACTGACTTTAAATTCTGGAGGGAGGACAACTATTAACATTCTGGAGGGAGATACTAACTATTAACATTCTGGGAGAGGGGCTACTTAACTTCTGGAGGGAGAGGCCTGGACTTAACACTTGGGAGGAGGACTGGATAATTAACATTCTGGAGGGGAGAAACTGGACTATAACATTCTGGAGGGAGGGCTGGACTATTAACATTCTGGAGGGAGAGACTACCATAATTATCTGGAGGAGAGGACTGGACTATTAACATTCTGGAGGGAGAGGCTAGAGTTACATCTGGATGGGAGGACTGGACTAAATAACATTCGGAGGGAGCTGGACTTTAACATTCTGGAGGGAGAGCTTTAAAAACATTCTGGAGGGAGAGGACTACTATTACATCTGGAGGGGACGGAAATTTCATTCTGGAGGGAGAGGACTGGACTTTTTGTCTGGAGGGAGAGGCCTAACATTAACATTGGGGGAGGGAGACTATTAGCATTCTGGAGGGAGAGGACTGGACTATTAACATTCTGGAGGGAGAGGTCTAACTATTTACATTCTGGAGGGAGAGGCCTGGACTGTTAACATTCTGGAGGAGAAGACTAACTTTAACATTCGGAGGGAGAGAGACTGGACTATTAACATTGGGAGGGAGAGGCTAACTGTTACATTGGAGGGAGAACTAACTATAACATTCTGAGGGAGAGGTCTAACTATTAACATTCTGGAGGGAGAGGACTGGACTATTAACATTCTGGAGAGAGAGGACTGACTATTAACATTCTGGAGGGAGATGACTAACTATTAACATTCTGGAGGGAGAGGACTAACTATTAACATTCTGGAGGGAGAGGACTGGACTGTTAACATTTGGAGGAGAGGAGAACTATTAACTTAGGAGGATGATGACTACCTTTAACATTCTGGAGGGAGAGGGCTAACTATTAACATTCTGGAGGGAGAGGCCTGACTGTTAAAATTATGGAGGGAGAGGACTGGAATATTGACATTCTGGAGGGAGAGGACTGGACTATTAACATTCTGGAGGGAGAGGACTGGACTATTAACATTCTGGAGGGAGAGGACTAACTATTAGCATTCTGGAGGGAGTGGACTGGACTATTAACATTCTGGAGGGAGAGATAACTATAATTCGGAGGGAAGGACTGGACTATTAACATTCTGGAGGGAGAGGATGGACTATAAATTCTGGGGGAGGACTGGACTATTAACATTCTGGAGGAGAGGCGTACTATTAACATTCTGAGGGAGGACTTACTATTAACATTCTGGAGGGAGAGGACTAACTATTAACAATCTGGAGGGAGAGGACTGGACTGTTAACATTCTGGAGGGAGAGGACTAACTATTAACATTCTGGAGGGAGAGACTAATTAACATTTGGAGGGAGAGGCTACTTTAACATTCTGGAGGGAGAGGCCTGGACTGTTAACATTATGGAGGGAGAGGACTGGAATATTAACATTCTGGAGGGAGAGAACTGGACTATTAACATTCTGGAGGGAGAGGTCTGGACTATTAACATTCTGGAGGGAGAGAACTAACTATTAGCATCTGGAGGGAGAGGACTGGACTATTAACATTCTGGAGGGAGAGGACTAATTATTAACATTCTGGATGGAGAGGACTGGACTAGTAACCTTCTGGAGGGAGAGGACTGGACTATTAACATTCTGGAGGGAGAGTCCTAATTAATAACATTCTGGAGGGAGAGGACTAACTATTAACATTCTGGAGGGAGACGACTGGACAAATAACATTCTGGAGGGAGAGGACTTTAACCATTCTGGGGGAGAGGCTAACTTTAACATTCTGGAGGAGAGACTGGACTATTACATTCTGGAGGGAGAGGATCTGGACTATTAACATTCTGGAGGAGAGGTAACTATTTACTCGAGGGAGGCTGGACTGTTAACATTCTGGAGGGAGAGGACTAACTATTAACATTCTGGAGGGAGAGGACTGGACTATTAACATTCTGGAGGAGAGGGCGGACTGTTACATTCTGGAGTGAAGAACAACTATAACATTCTGGAGGGAGAGGACTGGCTTTTAAAATTTTGGAGGGAGAGACTGACATAACTTCTGGAGAGAGACCTAACTATTAACTTCTGGAGGGAGAGACTAACTTACATTCTGAGGGAGACTAAACTATTACATTCTGGAGGAGAGGACTGGACTATTAAAATTCTGAGAGAGAGGACAGGCTATACTCTGGAGAGATGACTACTATACATTCTGGAGGGAGGTCTACTATTAACATTCTGGAGGGAGAGGACTGGACTGTTAACATTCTGGAGGGAGAGGACTAACTATTAACATTCTGGAGGGAGATGACTAACTATTAACATTCTGGAGGAGAGGGCTACTATTAACATTCTGAGGAGAGCCTGGACTTTAACATTATGAGGGAGGGCCTAGAATATTAACATTTGGAGGGGGACTGACTATTAACATTCTGGGGAGAGGACTGGCTATTATTCTGGAGGGAGGACAACTAAGCATCTGGGGGAGGACTGGACTATTAAATTCTGGAGGGAGAGGACTAATTATTAACATTCTGGGGGGAGAGGACTAACTATTAACATTCTGGAGGAGAGTCTACTGTTAACATTCTGGAGGAGAAGACTAACTACTAACATCTGGAGGAGAGGACTAACATTAACATTCTGGATGGAGATGACTGACTATTAACATCTGGATGAGTTCTACATTAACATTCTGGAGGAGAGGACTGCTATAACTTCGGAGGAGAGCCTAACTATTAACATCTGGAGGAGAGGCCAACTATTAACATTCTCGAGGAAAGGATGACCATTAACATTCTGGGGAGAGTGACTGACTAACATTCTGGAGGGATCACTATAACTTCTGAGGAGAGACTAACTTAAAATTCTGGGGGAGAGGGACGGACTATTAACCCTTCTGGAGGGGGGGACTAACTATTCCTTTTTGGAGGAGAGGGTAACTATTAACATTCTGGAGGGAGAGGTCTGGACTATTAACATTCTGGAGGGAGAGGACTGGACTATTAACATTCTGGAGGGAGAGGACTAACTATTAACATTCTGGAGGGAGAGGCCTAACTATTAACATTCTGGAGGGAGAGGACTAACTATTAACATTCTGGAGGGAGAGGACTGGACTATTAACATTCTCGAGGGAGAGGACAGGACTATTAACATTCTCGAGGGAGCGGACAGGACTATTAACATTCTGGAGGGAGAGGACTAACTATTAACATTCTGGAGAGAGAGGACTGGACTATTAATATTCTCGAGGGAGAGGACTGGACTCTTAACATTCTCGAGGGAGAGGACTGGACTATTAACATTCTGGAGGGAGAGGAAAAACTTTTAAACAAAATTACATTCTGGAGGGAGAGGACTAACTATTAACATTCTGGAGGGAGGGGCTGGACTATTAACATTCAGGAGGACTGGACGCTCTTATTCTGTTTCTAATCGGGATGCCACAGAAATGACAATCAAGTATCAACAGGAGCCACAAGAGCATACAAAATATGTGACGATTAATAGTAAATGTACTGTTCAACTCAACAGTGTTTGATTTCAATTCATTTAGATTTGTCTGATGAATAAAATTGCAATGAAAATCCCCCAGTTGAAATCAGTGTTAATCCTCATAAACCATCCAATAATCAAGCTATTACAATTAATCAGTGTGATGACTACACGTGTTGGCAATGTAAACAAAAATCAAGGTTCTCGGGAAAATTGGTCTTACCAAGACATGACTGAAATCAGAGAGAGAGATGGGGAAGAGAGAAAGAGAGGAGGGAGGAGAGGGGAATGAAAGAGGGGAGGGAAAAGAGAAGGGGAGCTGAGAAGAGAGTTTAGGGGGGAGTAGAAGAGTTAAGAAAACCTTCGGCCGGGCTTGCCCGAGAGCGAGCTGCGCGGCCCCTCGCGCTGTCCCGGGGTCTCTCTCCCCCCCTTTTTCGTTCGCTGCCGCCCTGTCCTTCTCTCTTCCTTTTTCCTCCCTCCCTCCTCCCTCGCTCCTCTGCACTTCTTCCCCCTCTCTCCTCTTCTCTCGCCTCTCTCCCCCGGCTCTCTTTCCCCTCGCCTCGCGCCTCTCCGCCTTCCTTCTCCTGGTTTTCTCGCTCTCCCTCTTTTCTTCTCCCCTCTTCTCCTCCTTCTCTCTCTCCTCCTCTCCCCTCCTCCCCCCTTTTCTTCTCTCTTCTCTCTCCTCCTCTCTCCTTTTTCTCTCTCTCCTTTCTGCCTCTCCTTTTTTCGAGAGAGCTCAGAATTTCCTTACGAGAGTTTAAAAAAAAACATACCGTTTGCTTTTTGAAAAATAACCCTTTTAGAACGCAGAAGATCATGAGGATGTTATTCTCCATCTGCTTTTAATAATCCTTAGAGGGTAGATGATGATCAAAGGAACAGAGAAGAGAGGGCACAGAAGACAAAGAGAAGCAAACCCATCAGTTGATTGAAGGCGGAGGGGGGGAGTGTGTGCGTGTTCGTATGCGTGTCTGTGTGCGTGTTCGTATGCGTGTCTGTGTGCGTGTTCGTATGCGTGTCTGTGTGCGTGTGGCTATGAAGTAGTACATGGAAAGTGTGGAAAGTACAACGGAGAAGGACAAATGAGAATATTGATTTGTTATACAAATCAAGTCGTTGGTTTTACGCTTCCCAACGTTTTAATCAACACCAGAAAGGTTATTGATTTTCTTTAAGCAGCCTTCAACTTTGTAATATCTCCTTTTCAATTTCTTCTTGGTAAACGTACATGATTTCTGAAAGCATAAAAATATATAATTCTGTACACTGTAAATTATTGTGCAAACATAAATCTATGAGTTACGGTATGTAACCCTGGTTCTCTGAAAGAGTATAGTACCGTTCACTTCCATTCAGAAGCACATCTGACCACTTTTAGGTCAGCGTGTCTTCGCCCAGAGGGATGTTGTGGAACAGGCGACAGCGTACAGATCGACGTCAGCTCTGCCGTAACGACTTTGGGATGAAGTCGCCACTCCCCTGGTAGGGGGTTCCCCAGCGACGGTAAATCCGCACCTGAGTTTAGTCTGCCTGGCACATGTGTTGCTCTGAGAAACAACAGATGTTCGCTGCTCGCTCCATAACAAGATCTTTGTCGCAGTAGTGCCGGTGGAGAGATGGGTTCAAGTGAGGTCACCCAACGCTGGAAGACTTTCATGAGGAGGAGGCCAAGCGGGACAACCACAATCATGGACTACCACAATCATGGACTACCACAATCATGGACTACCACAATCATGGACTACCACAATCATGGACTACCACAATCATGGACAACCACAATCATGGACTACCACAATCATGGACTACCACAATCATGGACTACCACAATCATGGACTACCACAATCATGGACTACCACAATCATGGACTACCACAATCATGGACTACCACAATCATGGACTACCACAATCATGGACTACCACAATCATGGACTACCACAATCATGGACTACCACAATCATGGAGGCCATGAGCCCAAGACGCCTCAGACAAACATCCAGTATGTGACCGATGTTGCCAGGCGAAACACAGAGACAGTGGCGAAAGCCTTCGCTCTCTCCTCGGTGAGGGCTGCTCAACAGGTTACAATCCACAGAGACAATCCATAGATTTGCTGCTGGGTCGGTAAGAGCGAGCTTTATGACACGATTCATCCTGAAGCCCACAGCGAACAGGTGTGACAACAGCTGTCTGAGTCCGAGTGTCTGTGCAGATCAACCAGTTGATGCCCATGGGGCCAGGGACAGACCGAATGGTAAGGTGATATATCCGTAGGCTATGCCCTGTGTGCAGGATAAACTCTGATGTGAAAATTAGCATCCTTGAGGTCTACTGACCCTCAGACGCTTGTTGAGCAACCCCCCCCCCCCACACACACACACCTCGACAACAGGCACACATCGACAACTGTCACCCTCGAAGCATCGTTAAGTATCGCTCCACAAAAGCCGCGGCCCTTGCAAGGGAAACAACTACTTCAAGGTCTCAGACGTCACCGATTGAAAAGCTACTATCGCGCTCCGCTAACATTTTACAGCACAATGTTGCTTAATGGAGCAATGTTCTTATTTGAAGTATATAATATCGCTCAATAACAATAACATTGTTTTTTTATATATTTGATCCAATATATTAAAAAAATATAAAAAAATCAGACTCTCCATGGGAAAAAGATTAAAAAATCATAATGAAACATGTGATCTCAGGATGTCCCACAAGTAGATTTGTGGATTTATAAAAAAGGTTTGTCAAAATGTCCTGTATGTTATTCAGAATTTGAGGGTAGACACCTTGCACCATTATGAAAGAAGATGCCTTATTTAACTGAATTTCCACAAGGTACATTATTGTGTGATAGGAATGACAAAGAATGACGACAAGTAATTTTTTCAGCTAAATTATATCGTTTTTTTTATATTTTAAAGCGGCAGACAATAACAAAGCATTCTCCCTGTTTCAAATAAGTTGTCTTCTTACCAAAAAGTGTTTCTGACTTCAAAATTCAATATCTACATTTGAACCGTGTCAAAAGCTCTCCCTTTAAAGCAGCAATCAGCAGTTGAAACAATACCAAAGCCTGTGTTTTGGTAAAAAGCTGAGGGATTGGGCTGGAGAAATGTAACCACTCTCCAATTCATAGACAGAGCTATGGATGTAAGGACTGACCATACATGATATCAACATGATCGTTTTCACCGTGTTTTGAGGCTATGTAGTGTTTGTTTACATTTACTTTGTTTACAAACATTGGAGTAGAACAAGTTCTATTTTGGGTTCTGACAGGGTTCTACAGTTGAACTAAGCTCATGGGGCAATAATAAGTCATATTCTTCAAGAATCAATGGGTACATATTAGAGCCCGAAGGACAAATAGGTTGACCGATATTATCGGCAGATATTAGCCTTTCACAGCAATATCAATATCAGTATCAGTCTTTATTACACAAATAAAGCATCAATATTATATACATAGAATGAGCTGATTTATTTTTATTTTTTTGAGTTTTTCAATGGTTGCCTGAAGAGGGCGCTCTAAGAGCTGCTCATTGAACATCATTCCGCCCGTAAGCCAAAACAAACGTGCTTCAACACAAACACTTCTGCATTCTTATCTTATCTAGCCGTAGATAGACACATCTTTAAGTTGTACCTAAGAAGGTACTTGTACATTTTTTTATTTTATTTTTAACTTATAGAGGATATATTAGCTTTTTGGTGGTAATCATGTAAACCACAAATTGTTCTGAAATAATGTTAATTGTAATATTTAAGTTAAGAAATCACCATTTAGAGCACGTGTGTCAAACTCATTCCACGGAGGGCCGAGTGCGGGTTTTCGCTCCACCCCTTGTACTTGATTGATGAATTAAGGTCACTAATTAGTAAGGAACTCCCCTTACCTGGTTGTCTAGATCTTAATTGAAAGAAGAAAAAAAAAAAACCTGCAGACACTCGGATCTCCATGGAGACATCCCTGATTTAGAGTCCCTGATAATCCTTTGTGATAAAAAGGTACGTTTTTCATTCCACCTCTAAAAAAACATATATTGGCAGATACGGTGCATTCGGAAAGTATACAGACCCCTTCCCTTTTTCCACATTTTGTTACGTTACAGCCTTATTCAAAAATGTATTAAATAATTTTTTCCCCCTCATCAATCTACACACAATAACCAATAATGACAAAGCGAAAAACAGGTTCTTAGAAATTTAAGCAAATGTGTTAAATAAAAACAGAAATACCTTATTTACATTAGTATTCAGACCCTTTGCTATGAGATTCGAAATTGAGCTCAGGTGCATCCTGTTTCCATTGATCATCCTTGAGATTTTTCTACAACTTGATTGGAGTCCACCTGTGGTAAATTCAATTGATTGGACGTGATTTGGAAAGGCACACACTATATTAACATTTACGTCATTTAGTAGACGCTCTTATCCAGAGTGACTTACAATTAGTGCATACATTATAATATTATTATTTTTTTCATGCTGGCCCCCCATGGGGATCGAACCCACAACCCTGGCGTTGCAAACACCATACTCTACATCCCCTGCCGGCCATTCCCTCCCCTACACTGGACGACGCTGGGCCAATTGTGCGCCGCCCCATGGGTCTCCCGGTCGCGGTCGGCTACGACAGAGCCTGGATTCAAACCAGGATCTCTAGTGGCACAGCTAGCACTGCGATGCAGCGCCTTAGACCACTGTGCCACTCGGGACGCAGTGAATATATATAAGGTCCCACAGTTGACAGTGCATGTCAGAGAATAAACCAAGCCATGAGGATGAAAGAATTGTCAGCAGAGCTCCGAGACAGGATTGTGTCGAGGCACAGATCTGGGGAAGGGTACCAAAAAATGTCTGCAGCATTGAAGGTCCCCAAGAACACAGTGGCCTCCATCATTCTTAAACGGAAGAAGTTTGGAACCACCAAGACTCTTCCTAGAGCTGGCTGCCCGGCCAAACTGAGCAAACGGGGGAGAAGGGCTTTGGTCAGGGAGGTGACCAAGAACCCGATGGTCATTCTGACAGAGCTCCAGAGATCCTATGTGGAGATGGGAGAACCTTCCAGAAGGACAACCATCTCTGCAGCACTCCGCCAATCAGGCCTTTATTGTAGAGTGGCCAGACGGAAGCGACTCCTCAGTAAAAGGCACATGACAGCCCGCTTGGAGTTTTCCAAAAGGCACCTAAAGGACTCTCAGACCATGAGAAACAAGACTCTCTGGTCTGATGAAACCAAGATTGAACTCTTTGGCCTGGATGCCAAGCGTCACGCCTGAAGGAAACCTGGCACCATCCATATGGTGAAGCATTGTGGTGGCAGCATCATGTTGTGGGGATGTTTTCCAGCGGCAGGGACTGGGAGACTAGTCAGGATCGAGGCAAAGATGAACGGAGCAAAGTACAGAGAGATCCTTGATAAAAACCTGCTCCAGAGCGCTCAGGACCTCAGACTGGGGTGAAGGTTCGCCTTCCAACAGGACAACAACCCTAAGCACACAGCCAAGACAATGCAGGAGTGGCTTTGGGACAAGTCTCTGAATGTCCTTGAGTGGCCCAGCCAGAGCCCGGACTTGAACCCGATCGAACATCTCTGGAGAGACCTGAAAATAGCTGTGCAGCAACGTTCCCCATCCAACCTGACAGAGTTTGAGAGGATCTGCAGAGAAGAATGGGAGAAACTCCCCAAATACAGGTGTGCCAAGCTTGTAGCGTCATACCCAAGAAGACTCGAGGCTGTAATCCCTGCCAAAGGTGCTTCAACAAAGTACTGAGTAAAGGGTCTGAATACTTATGTAAATGTGATATTTCAGTTTTTTATATATAAATTGTTTTTGCTTTGTCATTAAGCTAAATGACTAAAATGTAAATGTATTGTGTGTAGATTGATGAGGAAAAAAACTAATGTAATCCATTTTAGAATAAGGCTGTAACGTAACAAAATGTGGAAAAATTCAAGGGGTCTGAATACTTTCCGAATGCACTGTATACGGTAACTATCGGACCCAAAAATCCCATATCGGTCGGCCTCTAGCAAATATCAGTAATTTATCAATCCAAAAATTGATGTAGCAACTGCGGATTGGCGGTTTAAGCATAATAATTGTCATGTCACATCGGTTCATAAAATGTTGTACACATTTTTTATCATAACCGACCACATTCATGTTTTAAATATTCATACAGTACCAAACCACTATAATTTTTATAGCAGATATTTGTAACACCCGTCTACAACCTTCCCTTTGTCTAACAACACAACCTTCCCCTATTCTAACAACACAACTTTCCCCTTGTCTAACAACACAACCTTCCCCTTGTCTAACAACTTAACCTTCCCCTTGTCTAACAACACAACATTCCCCTATTCTAACAACACAACCTTCCCCTTGTCTAACAACACAACCTTCCCCGTGTCTAACAACACAACCTTCCCCTTGTCTAACAACACAACCTTCCCCTTGTCTAACAACACAACCTTCCCCTTGTCTAACAACACAACCTTCCCCTTGTCTAACAACACAACCTTCCCCTATCTAACAACACAACCTTCCCCTTGTCTAACAACACAACCTTCCCCTTGTCTAACAACACAACCTTCCCCTATCTAACAACACAACCTTCCCCTTGTCTAACAACACAACCTTCCCCATGTCTAACAACACAACCTTCCCCTTGTCTAACAACACAACCTTCCCCTCGTCTAACAACACAATCTTCCCTTGTCTAACAATACAACCTTCCCCTTGTCTAACAACACAACCTTCCCCTAGTCTAACAACACAACCTTCCCCTTGTCTAACAACACAACATTCCCCTTGTCTAACAACACAACCTTCCCCGTGTCTAACAACACAACCTTCCCCTTGTCTAACAACACAACCTTCCCCTTGTCTAACAACACAACCTTCCCCTATTCTAACAACACAACCTTCCCCTAGTCTAACAACACAACCTTCCCCTTGTCTAACAACACAACCTTCCCCTTGTCTAACAACACAACCTTCCCCGTGTCTAACAACACAATCTTCCCCTTGTCTAACAACACAAACTTCCCCTTGTCTAACAACACAACCTTCCCCGTGTCTAACAACACAACCTTCCCCTTGTCTAACAACACAACCTTCCCCTTGTCTAACAACACAACCTTCCCCTTGTCTAACAACACAACCTTCCCCTTGTCTAACAACACAACCTTCCCCTTGTCTAACAACACAACCTTCCCCTATTCTAACAACACAACCTTCCCCTAGTCTAACAACACAACCTTCCCCGTGTCTAACAACACAACCTTCCCCTTGTCTAACAACACAACCTTCCCCTTGTCTAACAACACAACCTTCCCCTTGTCTAACAACACAACCTTCCCCGTGTCTAACAACACAACCTTCCCCTTGTCTAACAACACAACCTCCCCCTCGTCTAACAACACATCTTCAGATGGCTTACAGAGGTAACAGACATGTTATTCAGTGCTGAGAATAGCTAGTTCAGTTCTACCCCACAAACAAACAAGTTATTGTGATGGAAAGACTATAACATATTTTCTCTATTTAAAAACAAAAAATACCCAAAACTCTTACCCCCCCCCCAAAAAAAAATCTTAAACGGAAAAGAAAAGGGTTTCTATATTTAAACCAAAGAGAAAAGGAACACAATAGCCTTCTTCTTCTTTAAGTCACTCAGGAAAAGCCATCCAGAAAATATACTTTAAAACCCTCTATTTGCGGAACTATCTCTAGGCTGCACTGCAGTGGGGAATGGTTACACTGCAGGCCCAGAGAATGGCAGGATGGCCAGGCACACAAATCAAATTACACCACCAGCTCTCAGAGAGACAAATGCACTAAAGTATGAATTTCAAGAAGAAGCGACTGGGTGGCTGGCAGGGAGAGGATGTGTCCCAAATGGCATCCTGTTCCCTATATAGTGCACTACTTTTGACCAGAGCCCTATGGACTATAGTGCACTATATAGGGTGCAGTTTTGGAAAGTCTCATTTCTGGAGGAGCATTCATGGAGAATGTCACACTCATCTTTGCAATGGAGAGATAATGTCCACTGCTCTTTTCAACTCCTCTCCTCACCTCTATTTCTCTCCTCACCTCCCTTCCTCTCCTCTCCTCTCATTTACATTTACATTTTAGTCATTTAGCAGACGCTCTTATCCAGAGCGACTTACAGTTAGTGAATACATATATATTTTTTTTATACTGGCCCCCAGTGGGAATTGAACCCACCCACAACCCTGGCGTTGCAAACGCCATGCTCTATCAACTGAGCTACATCCCTGCCGGCCATTCCCTCCCCTACCCTGGACGACGCTGGGCCAATTGTGCGCCGCCCATGAGTCTCCCGGTCGCGGCCGGCTGCGACAGAGCCTGGATACGAACCAGGATCTCTAGTGGCACAGTTAGCACTGCGATGCAGTGCCTTAGACCACTCCTCCTCACCTCTCTTCCTCTCCTCTCCTCACCTCCCTTCCTCTCTTCTCCTCACCTCCCTTCCTCTCCTCTCCTCACCTCACTTCCTCTCCTCTCTTCCTCTCCTCTCCTCACCTCCCTTACTCTCCTCTCCTCTCCTCACCTCCCTTCCTCACCTCACACTCTCTCCTCTCCTCTCCTCTCCTCTCCTCTCCTCTCCTCTCCTCTCCTCCTCTCCTCTCCTCTCTCCTCTCCTCTCCTCTCCTCTCCTCTCCTCTCCTCTCCTCTCCTCTCCACCTCATCTCCTCTCCTCTCCTCATCCCCCACCTCTCCTCTCTCCTCGCCTCTCCTCACCTCCCTTCCTCTCCTCACCTCACCTCACCTCACCTCCCTTCCTCTCCTCTCCTCATCTCCTCACCTCCTCACCTCTCCTCTCCTCCTCACCTCCCTTCCTCTCCTCACCTCCCTTCCTCTCCTCACCTCTCTTCCTCTCCTCTCCTCACCTCGGCCCTCCGTGGAATGAGTTTGACAACCCCGGTTTACATCAACAAGGAGTGTCATGCGCTTCAGAGGCTGGTGATGTCAAAATCCACTTTGAAGAACAGGTAAAACATCCACCTCCTCCCACCAGCTTAATCTGAAATGAGGAGGCTGCATTGAACACACACACGAAACTCACAGATGCACACACGCACGAGCACACATACACACACTTGTTTTACTATCCTTGTGGGGACCAAACAATTGATTCCCATTCAAAATCTAACCCTAAACCTAACCCTTAACCCTAACCTTAACCCCAAACCCTAACTCCTAACCGTACACCTAACCCCTAACCCCTAACACTAACCCCTAACCCCTAACCCCAACCCCTAACCCTAACCCCAACCCCTAACCCTAACCCTAACCCCTAACCCCTAACCCTAACCCCTAACCCCTAACCCCTAACACTAACCCCTAACCCCTAACCCCTAACCCTAATTGTAACCCTACTCGTAACCCTAAAATAGCCTTTTCCTTGTGGGGACCGGCTTAATGTCCCCACTTGTCAGAATGTTCCATGTTTTAATATTAGGACTTCTGGTCCCCACAACGATAGTAAAACCAAACACACACACACACACACACACACACACACACACACACACTATATGTTTTCCTATCTTTGTGGGGATCTAATATGTATTTCCATTAAAAATCCAATTTTCCCTAACCCCTAAACATAACCCTTACCCTAACCTTAACCCTAACCTTAAACCTAGCTTCAAATAGCCTTTGTCCTCATGGGGACGTGGGAAATGTCCCCACAAGGGAGAATTGTCCTTGTTTTACTATCGTTGTGGGGATTCTGGGTGATTTCCGACCAGGGTAGCAATACAAGCCCACACACACACCCCTTCATCTGAAATGGAGGCCGACAGCCTCCTTGTGTACAGACGAGGAAAAAGAGACGCAACCATTTTAATACGGTCATAGAGACCGTCTGATTCCGAAACTGGCACACTATTCCCTATGTAGTGCACTACTTTTGACCCGGGTTCATAGGGCTCTAGTTAAAAGCAGTGCACTATATAGGGAATAGGGTGCCATTCGGAATGAATCCGCGGAAGGTGTGTATGAGTGACAGCTGAAGAGGTGGAGAACCAATTACTGCAGTCTACTGTGACCGTTACATTACATGACATTACATTACCCTGTAGTGAGAGACTGGTTTTATAGACCAAGCTGTGAGAGGTTTGATATCTTCATGAAAACACCACAGGCACAAATCACAACACAAAACAACAGGGTTAGCTATCTCCTTAAACCACAACATTATTTTCACTGCTCTGACTGCACTCACAAACCATCAAATGTTGACAGGCTGTATTGCAGAGAGGTAGCCTAAGGGCCCTTTCACATATCCCCTTACGATCCGGACCCTGGAGCGTTTGGTACCCATAAAGCATGTGTGAAACGTAAAATAATTCTGGACCTGCGTGAGCAGCGGGTCCAAGACGCTGGGCCAGAGTACCAGGTATTGTGATGCAGCAGCGCGAGTCGTGTAGAATGTGTGTCTAATCGTAAACAAGCTAGCTCGCTAACGTCACGTAGAATCTGTGTCTAATCGCACCCTGAAACGGTTATGTTCAGGTCTTGTGAAAGCAAAACGTATTCTGTAGACTTCTCACAAACGCTCCAGGAAACAGAACAAAGGTACAGAATTTCATATATGAAAACACCCTAAGTACTGGAAATATGACTTTATAGTTTCTCTCAATCCCGTACAAGCAATGATCAAATGATCAAATAAATTCACAGAACCTCATTTTATTGCCTTAATACCTAACTTGCATTTCTTGGATCACCTTTTGCAAAACAATAACTTAAATACAAATGTTATCAAATACAAAATTGTTCACTGAATATTAACACATTGTTTTCATCAGAAGAGAAATGTGTGCAATTGACCCTTCGCCAAGCCCCACCCCAGAATTTTGGGCAACCAATCACAGCGCTCCAATGGATAGAAACTCTCATCGAGTCCGACACCTCGGACAAGCTCACGTTTGAGTTTTCTTGTTATGTGGGCAGCTTGTCTCTCCCTTTTCTGTTTCCCTTCCTCCTTGTTTTGTCCCCTCTTTGTCTGTTGTATCTGTATGTGTGTTTGTCCCCTTTATGTGGGTGTGTCTGGAGTGGATCAGGGGGCGTGCTCAGGATCTGCCTCTCCTGTGCAGCTGCGGGTTGTTTCCAGTGATTCCTGCCTACGCAGCTGCATCCTATTCTCTCATCAACCTGCACTACTAATTCCTGGGCATGGCTCTCCACCGGCGCCAGATCGTTGTTCTTACTAGAGCGGTAACTTGGCTCACCAGTAAAGTTATTTTATCTTAGTCTTCAGCCTGGCGTTTTACTCTCCTTAACCTGTCGTTTGTTTTGTCTTCAGTTCAGACATACCTCCCGGCCTGCCTGCCTTCGTGCCTGCCTGCCTGCCTGCCTCAGCCTCTCCTTCCTCCGGAGCCGACTAGCCCACTCTGTTCCTTTTCTTCTGTTGTTTTTTGGACTATGACAAATTGAACTTTTATTAAAAGTATTTTTGTTTCCTCCACTCCCTTAGTCGTGTTTGTTTCTCTGAGTGCTGGGTTGAACCATAGTGTAATATTTCTTTAAAAATAATAAGAGTACTTGCTTGCTACTGTGATTCCGAAAATGCAGATTCTGTTGATGGAGTATTTTTCTAATCTCAAATTATACTTTTGTTACATTGCTTGCAAACTCAGCTGGTTAGCTAGCCCTCGGTAGGCAGGGCAAACCCGTTCTGGTGATTTCTGGTATAGGATCAAAAATCACCAAAAAAAAATACATGTACAACACCATTGGAAATTAGTGTTGAAAGTTAAATTTATATTCCAAAAACTTAAATTGAAAAAGCTGACAAGACATTTTGATAAATAGCCCAGTTTTAATGAGTCCAAATCAATAACCAATATGCAGAACCAGTTTGTGATATATTGAAAACATAAAAAATGTACTGTCTACACTGTCTACTATGCAACAATCGTAATCATATTACTTATTAGTATTTCTTTAAATGAGCACCATAAAACCCTGTTGTCTATTAGAGGGGAAATCAGGTTGTGTGCGCTTTTTAAACTACCACAACTCAAAAACCACATGGAAACTGGAGATTTTTTTTAAAATGACAACTTGTAGAAGACACCTAGCTACATTTTTGAAGTGTTGCATTTTTATTCAAGTGGGTTGCCAACATGGTAAGTGTAACGCAACACATTTATTTTGTTAATCACTTCCATTGATATCACGTTGAAATCAATAGAACAGGGGCAAAAGATTTGGGGTGTATGCACTGTTTAAACTAACACTATTCAAAGGCCACACGGAATCTGAAAATAACTTGAACATCACTGCTTTGAAGAGAATTTGTTGAAGACGGTCATCTAAATTCTAGAATGTCGGATGGAGATTCTGGGAGGCTGCCGAAATGGGCCAGAAAACAAATCAGTTGCTTCGTTATTTAACTTCAACGAATCACGACACGTCATAGGATATCAACACTGTCAAGGGTTGGCTGTTATTTAAGTGATAGTTTGACTCTCACCAATCTGTTTATTGGTGTGTGACCAGCGATTTTTTATACAGAGAGTGCCTCGAATTATTCATGCCATTTCAATTCGAAAATGACAACGGAATTCTAAAATGTATGCACTCACTAACTGTAAGTCGCTCTGGATAAGAGTGTCTGCTAAATGACTAAAATGTTAGTAGCTTTGACTGCATGATGACAGTGGCTAGCCACGCTACAAACAATTATACCAGGTTCCAGTGAAGCACTTATAATGACAGTCCACCACAACGTACGCAAGAGATGCCTGATTAGCAAGGGGTAGTTTGTGTTAAACACCTATACTGTACATTCATATCAGTTGTGTTCCTCCATTGTATTCACCTTTCCTTATTTTTAATGTGGATTCTGTGGGCCAATGGAAATTCTACAGAACTGTGAGTAAATCAACATTTGTATTGAATACATGGAATTGGATTGTGATGATACCTATGAATGAATCCTTTATACAATGCGCTTTTATTTTTTTTATTTTTTTTTCTCAGGAATAATATTGTGTATGAAATTGCTTGGTGAAATATGCATAAAAGGAGAGTAATTTCCCATAATGCTGCACCTTTGGATAGTTGTACTTCCAATTTTGATCATCATGATTTAGTGACTGCAAATCTACTGGGATTTTTAAAAGACAGACTTTCTGTTTTGTCTGCTTGGACTCAATATGTAAGTATGGTTGTGTTTTTTCAGGCAGTCTTGTTCTTTTGATGAATCTATTAGCAATTTTGACGGGATAATATAGTTTATAAAATAGTTCATAATACAGTTTATAATATAGTTTATAATATAGTTTATAGTATAGTTTAGTTGAATGTGTTTATGTTTTGAGAAGACAACTACATTTTGAAAACCTATTTGACTGTTCTGCAAAAAAAAAAAAAACACGGAGTTCTGTTTCTTGTGAACACTCTTTTTTGAAAATCGACAACATTGTTCCAAAAAAAATGCTTGTACACGATTGAGAAAAAAATCTGGTCACATTTTTAGAACTGAAAAGTAAAATGGTGGGTACTATGAACGTTTCCAGTATCTGGTGGCCTTTGGGGTTACTGCTCATTTAAATCTCTAAACATCTCTTTGTGGTGTCATCCATAGCCAGGGTACAACTGTAGGTACTATGAAAACATCCCTAAAAAAAAACAAGACATTTGAGTTTTATCTGTCTGGTACCATTAAATAGTGGTCATAAAAACGTCTGCT